CATTGACAAACCGAACCTGCTGAAAGCCAAGGCGATGGCTTTCCACACAAAGGCTTTCACTGGGTCACGCTGAGACTGAACACGAATTCAAGGCTAAAATTTCCAGCCTCTCAGATCGACCTCGGAGATAAAAAGGCAAGGGCACGTTTTATGCCACGAAATAAAAACCCAAGACATTATTACCAGGAGTATTATCCAGTCACTTTTAGCAAACAGACACCAAAAACAGACAAAAAAAATGCAAAGACAAAGGCCAAGACTGAAAAAACAATAAGGAGGGATTATTTCCAAGTTAGATTGTTTCCAAATTAAGTATCTGTAAAAACTTAAATGTTTTTGTACAGTTACTTTCCCTGTTGTGTGCTAGTTTTTTGTAGAGCAGGCGCTTAGTGATTTAATCAGTAAACCAAATCAATCCAAGTCGTTTCAACTGATTTGACATTTGAGTCTTTCTTCAAGCTAAAAATGCCCAAAATGTTCTCGAATTGATCATTTTCGGCTCATCCTTCTCTTGCATGGTAGTAAATGTTTTGAGACTTATCGTTTCCTGGTGTTTTAAAGACAAAAGAATCCGTTCTTATGCAGAAAACTCTTAGCTGCATTCTTTTTGCATGTTTATTTCTCTTGCAAAACAGACTTCAAACTCACAGAGAATAAATAAAAATCAACTTTTAGACCCAAAATAAAATCAAGATTATTGTTTGGTGGGGAAAAAAGAACGCAGGGCATCCATGAAACACATCCAGAAACAAATACAAAATTACTTAAATGAGATAAAAGCGCAACAACAAATTACTCCAAAGATAGTCAACAACAGATAACAGATAAGACAACAAAGATAACATCTCTGCGAGCCAATGACACAAAATAAGGTGTAACACAAACAAAAAGATAATTACAATTACCAAAATGTGATGCAAAATGACCAAATGAAACGTGACCACAGAAATACAAAATGGGAAACAGTTTTACCACAAATATGTGCAAAACTACCATAAGTAGGTCAGAAATGAGTAAAATGGGGCATAAACAAGTGCAAATACAAAATTTGGTACACGAATGTAAACAACAATGACCACAGATATGCAAAATTACCACAAAGAGGCTCGGGATATCAGATTCAGATGTTTTAGGAGAGACGAGATGCTATAGGTGGCTTTTACTTTGAAAATACTTCAGTTCTACAGCATTATGGCCCACCCTACACCGCGCCTGATTGGGCCGCATTTAGGCCGATGACTCATGAGAAATGATAACTGGTTGGTTTAGACAGGAGGAGGACAGGAGCCATCGAGTAAGTAACTTCCTCCCTTGTGCTGTTTTCATTTTAAATGAAGCCATAATTCTCTACTTTTGTTATTTCATCTTACGTGTTTCTACAGACATAGTCACTCCTGCAAAAGAGCAAAGCGTAATGGCAAAAACATTATCTGTACCACACTAATTTCTAAACCCTGGTTACATCCATGTGCAAAACAGACCGACCGAAGGAGGCACAAAGCAACCAAAAAACTAGCAACAAATGTGCACAATTTGATTCCAAGTGACACACAAAACACTGAAAATGAGCAAAAGAAAGACAAAAAAACCCACGAACCTACTAAAACAGGAGCTACAATGACAATCAAACACAAAGAGACGACAAATTAGACACAAGGCTTCATAAATGCCAAGCTACCACAAACACGTGACAGTAATGAGAATAAAGATGAACAAAAAGCAAAATAAAATGACCCGATGAAGACACTAAATGAGACACACAACATTTAAACTAGAAAACACCACGATCTACCACAATGATGAAAAACAAGCAAATGGAGACAGGATTTAGACACAACTAGCACACAGAGAGTCAAAATGTGACACATTTACTGAGTAAATTAAGAAATAATAAGTTGAGCAGGAAGAAATACAAAAATGCAAGAACGAGACACAAAGGATTTAAAATAAACCGTAAGAGCACAGGCTGAAACTCCCACAAAAAGATGAGAAACAAAAATCAAAAGAGATGACAATGAAGAGATAAAGAACAAGACACACAACATTTAAACTCCAAAACCTGCCAGATCTACCACAACAAGACTGAAAATAATGAAAAAACTAGATGAAAAAACTGAGACACAAAGCCACCAAAATGAGACAAAAAGGGAATCAAACACAAGAAGTAAGAAAGAAGATGAACAGGAAGACATTTAAAATAAGAAACAGTGAGAGCACAAAAAGACTCAAAGCAACAACAACAAAAAAGACACAAAATCACCAAAACATGAAAAAGATGACAATGAAGAGACACAAAACGAAACACAAACACTGAGAATGAACACAAATGAACAGAAATGGGAATATTTTATTCTGCTGTACATGTTTGTATACCACTTATATACTTATTAATAGTCAATATATACTGTATATGTAGCAACGAGTTATTCATTCCTAATCTATTCCAACATCTTTGCACCACTCAACCATAAATATGCTGTACTTGTTGTTATTGTCTGTGTCGTGTGATGAAAACACAACAATTATGCGCAAACTGAGCAGAATAACACACGAAAGAATCTAAAACAAACAAACAAACAACCAACCAAAAACGAGACAATTTGATCAGAAAGACGCAAAAACAAACCCGAGGAAACTTAAAGAACTGCGAAGCCAAAGCATCTACAAAAACAGGACTCAAAGTCACCAGAGTGTCGCCACAAACGAAGCTCCCGGCCTGTTTTTTCCACAAACGCGCCCTGGATTATTCACATGATCGTGGACAACCTGTTGGAGTTACACCGCGGACATTGCATCCCTGTCAGCCGCGAGCTCCGCGGCATCAGGCTGAAGTTGGAAAAGTGTGAAATTACTGAGAGGAAGGAGGAAAAGGAAAGCTTCTTGAAGGGAAAGGAAAACTTCTACAGATTTGATTTTTACAAGTAAAAGTAAAAAATAAATAATTTCATTAAAATTTGATTTTAAATAAAGCGCGGGGTCCCTGTCCACTGTAGCTATCGCGCTGACCGCACGCGCATGGACGTTATCTCATTATAGCTAGAAATAAAAATAAAAAATTAAATTAAAAATAAAGATGTCTATCTGTGTCGCTGTGTGGTTTTAGCGAGTCATCCCACCTCATCCTGCTGAGACTCTTTGGGCTTCTTCTTGCTGGCGGCCGTCATCGTCTCGGAGTCTTGGTCTGTCTCTGCCCGGTAATAACATCACAAACCTGCCGCGCGACGATTTTAGCTGCGCGAGCCACAAAGCTGCTAACAATCAACGCGAGGTTCCGGCAACAGCTTCAAAATAAAAGTCCTTCCACAGGAAACACCTTTTTCGTCAATAACTGTCGCTACTTTTTGTGTTAAATTCATTTTTTATTTTTCTTCTTAATTTTGCTTGTTTAATTCATTTTTGCTTTACATGCTAAAGGCTTTATGTGAACGTTTCTAATAATTATTTAACTAATTAATAACAGTTATTAAACAATAGCAATTACTGAAACTATTAATTAATGTATATTAATAGTTTAAAAACACCACAAATATTAAAATGATTTTTTTAAAAACTGAAACTGGCCCTGAAACTAATAAAAACTAAACAGAGCCTAACATAAATAAACTCAAGATGAATAAATAGAAAGGCAACTAAAACAAACAAATCTGTGCTCTAAAATGACAGAAAGTAAAGTGAACTGAAGATAAGTAATAAGAATTACTTATATAGCATAAAGACTTTCGTAAATGAAGAGTGTACTGCTACTCATAAGCTGGACTAAGCCAAAATTTATACTACTCTGACTCTGAGTTGTTTCATTTTGTTTCATGTTTTTTTGGGGCATATACCAGTGTGGAAATAAGAGTATGTGGAGATATACTGAGTGAAGAGAATAAATCCAAAACACAGTTTGAAGAGTTTTCCGATTCAGTGCACGGTGATAAAGTTTTTTTTCCAAAAACATTTAATAAATATTAAAATAATAATGCAAACATCAAGTGTCAATTTAAGCAGAGCTGTCCATGGTGCTTAAATCCACAATAGCTGAGACTTTAGCTTAAAATAGGCAGCAGCAAGCTTTAACTGTAATCCTTTTTCCTGTCACTGCTCATTAGAAACAAAGATAATTTTATTATTTGTAATATTCATTTTATTTTTATTTTTCTTTTAGGCCTTCAGTCAGGACACCACATTTACAAGAAAGCTCAAGTTTATTTTATTTCTTTTACTGTAAACACAAAAAGATGATGTTTGCTTTTACTAGCTCATGCTTATTCATATTCAGCTACATTAACTACTTTATTTGAATTCAAGGTTTAGTTAATGACAAAAAGAAAAAAGTAATCAGATTATGCAAACAGGTGCAAGCCGACAACACACACCTACAGGATTATCATAAAAGGGAAGTCATACTGTAGTAACAGGTAAATGTGAATGAAAAAGATTTTTTTCAAGACAACCAATCACATCACACATGAAGACATCCTGTAAAGTCTAGCTTGCTACATAAGCTCTCAGCACAAAATTTAAATCTCAAGGTTGAGGAAGGAAAATTACTTGTTGTTTTATGCATGTGATTCATGAAGGTAGCAGAATACTGTGGGCAAAGGGAACATCTGTGTGGCTGTACTTTACTGCAAGCTCTTGTCATGATATGCTGTGTGGACCCAAATGTAAGACACAGAAACAGACCTTAACTCCAAAATCTCAA